CCGGCCGCACCTAAAAAGCGACGCAGGCTGCCAAAAACAAGCTCGGCAAGACCGATACGCGGTTCTTTAGCATATATCATATCACAAAATGTCAAATCCAAACCTAACGTACGTGCAGATCATCGAGGAAGCCAATAGAACAACCTACACGCCGGCCGATCGTACTACGAGGAGCGAGCAGCGTACACTACAACGCTCTCTCGCGTCGTCGATCCCGTCGCAGTCCATGCACATATGTATAGTAATAAACTCGCACGATTTGCTCGAAAAAAGGAAAAGGAAAAAAAAAACTCGCCACGGCATCTCCGTATGTCGAAACCCGGCACGAGGAGAGCATGCTGCGTGACGGGAACGATGTGTGACGGGAACGAGGCCCGACCTCTCACGAGCAAAACATGGGCGAATTGGGCCCCGGGATCTTGTCAAGAAGACCAAGGAGAAGGCAATAAGCAGAAGAAGAGTTGATTAATCTATGGGCGTGCACGTCGAAGTTACCGCGTTGCGTCGCCGTGCGCCTGCGCACGGTGGTGTACGTGCGCGGTACCCGACGCCGGCCACGGCACGCGACGTCAACGGCCACCGCCCATTCCAAGTCCCAGGCCGGGGCCGCCCGTCCGTCCGTCCGTCCGTTCCCGGAAGCCCCCGGATCATGACGTCGTCGCCGGCCGGCCGGACGCGGGGCGGTGCAGGCTGGCCGTGCGTCCGTTCGTACGGCGTATCTGGCCGCGGGATGGATGGGGCGGAGATTTTTTCGTTGGCGCGGGGGCGCGAGAGAGAGAGAGGGGGGGCCAAGGGAGGGAGCGCAGAACGTGTCGGGCGCTACCTAACCCGGCGGGCCCACCACGAGGCGCCGTTCTATCCGGTAGGAAGGAAAGAAAAAGAAAAGAAAAGAAAGATACTCCTGCCCCACTGCCCGCAGCTGCTGCCGCCCTACCCTACGTGCTCCTTCATTTTTCTTTAATGCCCTACCTTTATTATTAGCCAAATGAAATGATATTGATACGCCCCTCTAATTCTGGCGCATGGAAATAGTAGTACTACTAGTAGTATATGCATTTGGACCAATTATCCGGATAACCTTTTT